TCATAAACAATAAATTAATGTATCGTGAGCAATATCTTCTAAATAAATATAGAGCAGTAGATATGATTTGTAATTTTAAGCATACAATAAGCAAATCAAATGCATTAAAACTTAGAGGGAGGTAGGTGCAAAATGAAATGCTTAAAAAACAGGGGATCATGCTTTGAATGGGGTACAAACTAGTTAGTCGGGAAATGAGGATGCAACATGCTCCCTTAAAATCTTTAAGTAGGATATATTTATCAAAGAGGTGCAAATAATTTAAATCAAAAATCTTGCCTACAAATTAACGAATTCAGTTCTTTTTTTTTATACTAAAATAAATTAAATAATTTAATCTTTCTTCTTAACCCTATGTACGTATTAAACCTTCCCACATAATTTTTTTCCCTCCAACTCACTCTTCCTTGAAACTTAGAAAAGCCTGACCTGTATAGATTTTTAACTCACGCGAACTCTTCCTTAAGCTTTAATAAATATGATCTATATTAAATTTTCCCAATATCAACTCACTCTTCCTTAAACTTTGAACAAATATGGCCTATATTTTTTTTATTTTTTGTAAAAGGGGGTTACTTAGGTAGAACTTGAAATTAGAACTGGGATAATTTGTGGGACAAATTTTTATAGTGTTAGTTAATTGGAACTAGAGCTAGGATAAAATTAAACGGATAAAAAGTAAAACTGGGATCATGTTAAAATTTTATCTCACTCTTGTCAAATTTATATAGAAAGAGTGAGTTCTAAAATTGTCCTAAGTTTTAAACTAGAATTAGATGGTAAAAAACTAAAATTTTCTCATTTGCTTGTCTATTTTTCATATTTCATTTCTCATCATCTTTGAACCACACTATAAGATTAGATTACATTTCTTATTATCCTTTTATTTAATGTTATTTTTCATTTTTATTAGAGTTGTATAATTAATTTAAATTAAAAAATTAAAAAATTTATGTTTTATTAAAAATTAATTAAAATTGAGAGGTGACAGGATGTTGTCTAGCATATCAAAAAAGAAAGAGCCAAAAAAAGAGGGAGAACTTTGTTTTTAATGTGTATTACAAAACTAATTCCAAAAAAATAAAAAGTTACTAATTATTATAATAATATCTTATAGTCTATCCAATAGTTCTTCCAGATTAACTAACACTAAAGTAAATAATTATTTTTAATAATAGTAAGCTTTAAAATATATGAATAGTTGTCCTATCATCAAAATGCATGACTTATATGCTTCTTAATTAATAAAATTTATCCTCCAGCATAATAACAATTATCCCACTAAAATATCCCATTTTAAAATATTACTCCTAATATCCCACTAAAATATCTCACTTCAAAAACTTACCCGATACTCCACTCGTCTATCAAAAATGTTCCGGTTACTACATGACTTATATGCTTCTTAATTAATAAAATTTATCCTCCAGCATAATAACAATTATCCCACTAAAATATCCCATTTTAAAATATTACTCCTAATATCCCACTAAAATATCTCACTTCAAAAACTTACCCGATACTCCACTCGTCTATCAAAAATGTTCCGGTTACTACATGACTTATATGCTTCTTAATTAATAAAATTTATCCTCCAGCATAATAACAATTATCCCACTAAAATATCCCATTTTAAAATATTACTCCTAATATCCCACTAAAATATCTCACTTCAAAAACTTACCCGATACTCCACTCGTCTATCAAAAATGTTCCGGTTACTA